TGTGTCTGCGGGTGTTTGCGTTAAATTGTGTTTGTATTTGTACTTGAAATTTTTACAGGTCCTTTGGGTCTGTTCAAGTAGTGCGGCCGAATAGTGCTGAATAGGCCTATGTTCTGCATGGTTGTTTATCCGGTATTTCGTTTGTAATATTCGTGTTTTTGGGAGATATTTTAGTGTGGTTCTGGTGCCAACTGTGGTTCTTCGGTCGTATGATCCCTTTATTAACTCTTGTATATTTCTTCGATTTTTCTTTCGCCTTCCATTCTCTTCTCTGCCTCAGCTCGTTTCTGTTTCTTTCTGTCTGTCTGTCTGCCCCCTCTCTCAGTCTCTCTCTCTCTCTTTCTGTCTCTCTTTCTCTCTCTCTGTCTCTCTTTCTGTCTTCTCTTCTCTCTCTCTCTTTCTCTCTCTCTCTCTCTCTTCTCTCTCTCTCTCTCTCTCTCTCTCTCTCTCTCTCTCTCTCTCTCTCTCTCTCTCTCTCTCTCTCTCTCTCTCTCTCTCTCTCTCTCTCTGTCTCTTCTCTCTCTCTCTCCCTCTCCTCCTATATATACATACACAGATATGTGTATATACATATATACTGTATGTATGTATGCATACACATATATATGTATATTATATACACGTACGTATGTATGTATGTATATGTACACGTCGTTCTTGTGTAATACCAGTCACTTCTGGTTACGCTGCATGTTATAAACAGGTCATTGTACAGATACTTTATCTTTTCTTCCATATTTTTAACTCCGAAGTGTAGCTCCCCCTCCCCCCCTCCCCTCCCCTCCTCCCACACATGCCTCGACTTTTCCGCATTTCCGAGCGGAGTTATTTTTTAGATTATTTGTTTATTTCCTCATTTATAATCAAATCTTTATTTGTTATATGTATTTGCTGTTATTCATCTTGTTGTCGTTTTCTTCCCGTTTTTTGTTGTTGTTCCTGTGTAACCTCATGCTATGCCTGGTTCTTTTTCTGAGTTCTGAACGTGATTTCTTAAGATTTTTACAAAGGGGGGGGGGTTGTAGTGGAGGAGCAAGAAATGTGATTGTGATAAGACGGCAGATAAGATATTTCACTCTCTCTTTGCCTCCCCATCTCTCTTTTCTCTCCGCCATCTCTTCCCCATTCCTTCTCTCTTCTCTCCCTCCTCTTCCCTTTTAATGTCTACCCCCTTCTCTCTCTTTTCTCCTTCTGATTGGCCCCCATCTCTCCCTTGTCTCCCTCCTCTCCTCCCTCCTGCCCCCCCCCCTTACCTCCGTAATTTGAGCGTCCTGAGATTCCTTGCTGTGACGTCATCATCTTATCAAGGATTGTTGTCTTTTAATCAAAGGGAGGAATGCGATGTCTGTTTTTGTAGTGACATCACTAGCGTTGAAGTCGAAGTGAAATTCGTGATTTTTTTTCCTTCTTTCTGCGTTTCATTCCTCAGCATCGAGACGGAAATCTGGCATCGGTTGTCGTCCCCAATTTCGGAGGTATTTTCTCTGATGAATTCCTGTATCGGACACACGGCGATAAGGACTACAGAATGGCGTATCAGTGAGATAAAAGCGATACGGATAAGAGAATTATGGCGTGTTAACCTCGGCCGTCGCGCCCTGCCCTGGCAAGAGTAGTCGAGGCAGCGAACGCGGCGTACCTCTGGTGGAGAGTTGTAAACAGGTGACCCAAGTGCCTCGCCGTTACTATTATTTGAGGTCTCGCTGCCTCCGAGGACTTGTGGGTGCGTTGCTTGAGGATTTTGTGTGTTTTTAATGAGGTGTGGTGAGGTGGTTTTATTACTGTTTTTTTATTAAGTTTATTTACTCATTAATTACTTTTTTTTTGTTTGCTAATGGGGTCCTGTGGGGTTGGGTTACTGAGTGGATATTGTAGGATGTGTGTCGTCGCTTTTAAGTGGTATTACGTGGAAGATTCACGCGGAAGAGCTTTATTTTTCGTCGTTGTTTGATCTTAAAGTTGACTGTGACATGTGAACATAGATTCGAAAGCGTAGAAGTGGAAAGCTGTGGTGTTTAACTTGAGGCCCAAGTCGCTGATTTCTGTATGTAGGCCTATCCTCTTTGCGATGAAATTCCCTCGCTCCAGGACCTATATTACTCCTTTTTTCTTGCTGTGAAGGGGGGAGGGGGAGAGTGGGGGTAGATAGCACTGCAAAAGCGGGCAAAGCGAACGGAGAAACAGAGAAACAAGAAAAGTTTGAAGAAAGACGTGGGGAAGCATAATGTGTAATGGCCCATTGTTTTGGTTCGAGAATCTACCTGACTCCCCGTGCCCTGTGCCAGTCTTGCTGGAGCAGGTGCCGTGAGTGCCCGTGTGTGTGTGTGTGTGTGGTGTGTGTGTGTGTGTGTGTGTGTGTGTGTGTGTGTGTGTGTGTGTGTGTGTGTGTGTGTGTTGTGTGTGTTTGTGTGTGTTGTGTGTGTGGCATTATCTGGTTGTTTGTTATTTCGTGTTGTTCTTTTTGTCTTGGTGTGTGTGTGTATTTTCGTCGTATTTTTCATCACACACACACACACACACACACACACACACACACACACACACACACACACACACACACACACACACACATATTCGTTTTTAGATTTATTTTATTCATATATTTATTTTCTATACAAGTTTACATCCATATTTAAAATTGATATTCAATTTCTGCTCCTTGTTCTCTCTTTCGCTGCCTTTACTCTCACGCTGCCTCTGCATGGGGTCGCTCGTGGCACTCCTGCGGGATGCCAGACTGGCCCTCCTGACGTCGCAGCTGGCTCTCGCGAAGGCCTCTCTCGCCCCATCCACCTGCGATGATGACAATGGCACTGGCGTATCAGGGCCTCCCCGGGGGCAGTGCCTAAAATAGTGTCTCGCGGGAAGCTTGTGTAATTTCACGATGCACAGGTCCTTTCGTGGTGTTATTACTTTTTTGATTTATTAATTGTTCATTATTATTATTATTTATTATTTTTTTTTTTTTTTTTGGGGGGGGGGGTCACGGATTCCACGCAGAGAGGTGACCTGACTGACGGGTCGGTGTGTAGGACGACCTCGAACCGGAGGTGGCTGGGGGCCGGGAGGTGAGACGGGGAGGGAGGGGACGGGAGGAAAGGAGGAAGGAAGGGAGGGAGGGGGCGCGAGAAGGGGAGAAGGGAGGATTGGGGAACGAGTTGGGGAAAGAGGGAGGGTTGAGGTGGGAAAGGGAGGGAAGGGGAGGCAAAGAGGTAGGGTAAGGGAAGGAAGAAGGGAGGGAGGGAGCAGGGACGTGGAAAAGAGAGAGGAAAAGGGAAGGAGTAAGGGGAGGGGTGGCAAAAAGGGAGAGAGGGAGAGGGACAGGAAGGGGAGAGAGGTAGGAGGGAAAGGAGGCCTAACTTCGATCTCTCTCTCTCTTCCTTCTTCCTTCCTTCCCTTTCTCTCTCTGGTCTCATTGTTGTTACTGTTATGCATTGGTAATGTAGGCAGCATTATCTTGTTGTTCTTTGTTTTGTTATTCACTGTTATTGTTATTAGCGGTATATATGTTCTTTATTAACTCTACCGTGATTTTTAAAAAAATAAAATCAACAATGAACACGATGGTTTCCTCCAAAGAAACGATAAAATAACATAGGTATAAAGAAGATAAATGGGGTCTTGCTTTTTACGTTTTTAAAAGGCATTACATCACGTTATCTGGAAAGGAACGACGGATCTCGAGACCTTTCAAAACATGTTATTTCTTAATGCGATAAAGCTGATTACTTAAAATATGGAAATGCTTCGGTGGAGAGACACTTGGGGGAGATACGTTCGCTGCCTTTCCCATTCTCCATTTCATCACCCTTTCTCATTTTTTCCCCATTTCCTGTTCATATTTTCCTCTGTATTCTTACTTTCGCACCCTTTCCTTTTTTGGCATTCGTCGCATCTTTCTCTTCTGATTATCATTTACTTATTGTTATTGTGTATTATCTTCTCTGCCTTTTTTTCTTTGTATTTTCGACACCCGTCATTTTTTTTTAGGGGGGGGGGCGTTTTCCATTTTTTTTTTTTTTTTTTTTTTTTTTTTTTTTTTTTTTTTTTTTTACTGCTTAGATCGTCTCCGTTTTGTTGACCTTATTTATGCCGTAATTTTTTGTCACTTCCCCCATGTATTCTGTGCTAATTTCCTCGCGACTTTAAAGACCGATAAGTAATAATAGAAGGAGGAGGAGGGGAAGGGCAGGAGAAAAGATGTGAAGAGGAGGAAGAGAATGGGGAAAAAAAGAAAGATAAAACGGAGAAAAAAGGTTGAGGTTGACTTTCACTATTTTTTTTTTCCTTTTCGGTTTCGGCGGTCGATCCTTTCGCGCCATTTTTGTCGAATTATTGACGTTTGGGAATTTTTTGGTTTTGATTTTGGTTTGTTTCGCGCGGTTAATGGTCGATAGCTTTAAATGCCTTTTTTTGCTTGTTTATTTTTCTTTTTTTCAGTTAATGTTTAGACTTTGATAGTGCTCACCTTCTCTTCTCTCTCTTTCCCGCAGTGGGGTAGACTTTTTCTCTACTGTTTAATTTCTCACCCTTCTCCCTTTGTGCACTTAAGTTATTTTTATTTTTATTCTCACCCTCTTCTCTCTCCCGGAATTACCTAGACTTTTTCATTTAACTTCTCACCATTTTCCGTATTGCACTTTACTTTTTTTCATTTTGATTTGATCTCTCTCTTCTCTCCTTCTCTCTCTCTCCTCTCTCTCTCTCTCTCTCTCTCTCTCCTCTCTCTCTCTCTCTCTCTCTCTCTCTCTCTCTCTCTCTCTCTCTCTCTCTCTCTCTCTCTCTCTCTCTCTCCCTCCCCTCTCCTCCCCTCCTCTCTCTCTCCTCCCCTCCCTCTCTCTCTCCCTCCCCTCCCTCTCTCTCTCCCTCCCCCCCCTCCTCCCCCCCCCACAATGAACTAAACCTTCATTAGTATTTAATTTTTCACTCTCTCGCAGTGCACTTATTTTTTTTTTCATTTTGATTATTATTTCTCACCCTCTCTTCTCTCTCTCCCGCAGTGAACGTGGACGAGAAACTACGCGGCAGCTGCACCCTCGCCGACTACCAGCTGCAGGAGGTGTGTGTGGTGCCGCGGGACTTCCGAGCCCCACCGCTGTCCGTCACCGACCTCATCACCATGGCGGCCATCTCGCACCCGGAGGACAAGAAGCGACGGACGCTCCTCTCGCTCTTCTCGAGGAAGACCAAATCCGTGAGTATTTAGGAGGAGGAGGAGGAGGAGGAGGAGGAGGAGGGGAGGAGGGAGGAGGAGGAGGAGGAGAGAGGAGGAGGAGGAGGAGGAGGAGGAGGAGGAGGAGGGAGGAGGAGGGAGGAGGAGGAGGAGGAGGAGCTATGTTATTTGGGGGTCTGGGGGAGGGTTAGGTTTGTTAATGTGTTCTGTAAGTTACTTTATTTGGTTTTCTTTTTCTTTTTTTAGGTGTGGGTTTGTGAGTAGCGTTTTTTTTTCAACTGTTGTTTTTAATAATATTGGTGTTTTCATGTTGTCTGCTTAATGTGTCGATCAAAGAATAGAAAAACACAGTTATTGTGCGTGGAAATAGTAGAAATATTTAGATTTTCCCCAAGTGGGAGCTCCGTCACGGACTGCCCTCTCCTCCCGAAGTGGTCCCAGCGGTCGGACGTGAGCGACGACGCCGCGCCCAGCCTGGCCTGCTCCTGCCTGCCCCTCGTGAGTCGTTTCGCTCGTCGCAGGCCATGACCGGTACAGGCATCCGGCGCCGGCCTGACCGGGCCACGACCTCGGTCCCACTGGGTGTTGTCCTTCATTTGTCTAGGAGTTGGATGCCATCCCCCGTAGAGGCGTGTTGGACCCTCCTCCCTCTCTCGCACCGTCGGTCCTGCTCTTGTTATCCGTCATCTAGGGTCGGATCCTGTATCTGTAGAGGCGTATGCGATCCCCTTCTCACGACTTCGGTCCTGCTGCGTTATCCTTTATCAGGGGATCGGATCCTGTTCCTCTGGGGGCGCCTTCGATCCTCCCGCTGTGGCTGTAGTGAAGGGAGAGAGAATGAGGGCGGCCCTTGATCCTCTTTCCTTGGCTTGGCTGTTGGTCGCTTTGAGTAAGTCCCGTCACGCTAGGTACTCAGTAGCTGTACTTATATGCCCTTGTAAGTAATGTGTAAGTAATCGTATTCTCTCTTCTGAAAGGCCTCGAGGACGGGGTGAGGTGGAAGTACTTGAGAGAAAGCTTGAATCTGCTTTACCCTTTTGTTCAATCGCTACATTTTATTTTTTCTCTACCGGAGTGAGAGTAATTATGAGGAATGACGGTCAGAATAGTGTTTGAACTCATCAGATTTTTACTTTTTATTTTGATAGCGTTATCTGATTGCTGATTGTGAGAGAAGGTAGCAGTAGCAGGGTAGATAAGACGATTTTTTTTTTTACTACCCTGACCCACTCTCCATTGATAGAATAACGAGGCACAAACTCTATTTACTTTGCGTTGAACATCGGCCGGGAATGAGTTCACAAATCGGTTGACGTGTTTGCATTGAAGGATCGTGAGTAAAGGGTGCTGTAGGGAATTGATGGGGAAAAGGGAGGGGGGGGGTGATGGGTGGTCGGGGATGGGAGGAGGGGGCTGACGGGTTGTGGAGGGAATGGGAGGGGTTGAGGATGGTGGTCGGGATGGGGGGAAGGAGGGGGATAGATGGGTGGACGTGGGTGGGGACGGAAGGGAAGAAGAGAAGGGTTGACGAAAGTGGGCTGATCAGCTGATGGGGAGGAGGAGAGTAGATGGGAGCAGAAGGGGGAAGGGGGGAGGGGAGAGGGGGGAGGTGATGGGTTGATGGGGACGCGGTTTAAACAGCAGCCACGCCAGGCAACAGGTGGTCTAAGTGGCACAAGTAGCCCCCTTCAACAACCTCTTCATCTCTCCTTCCTTTGTACTCTGTTTAGGCTTGCGATGGGTGTTTGGGGGGGGGGGGTACTGTTGGGCCTCGCTCTTGGTCTTTGTTAGATGGGGGTCCTCGGGGATGGGGGGAAGAGGGCTGGATGGGAGGGGATAGATGGGTTGGGGACGGAAGGGGAAGAAGTAGAAGGTTGACGAAAGTGGGCTGATCAGCTGATGGGGAGGAGGAGTAGATGGGGGGAGCAGAAGGGGGAAGGGGGGTTGGGGGGAGGTATGGGTTTGATGGGGACGCGTTTAAACAGCAGCCACGCCAGGCAACAGGTGGTCTGTGGCACAAGTAGCCCCCTTCAAACAACCCTTCATCTCTCCTTCCTTTGTACTCTGTTTAGGCTTGCGATGGGTGTTTGGGGGGAGGTACTGTTGTGGCCTCGCTCTTGGTCCTTGTTATGGTTGTTGTTGTTGTTACTGTTGGTATTACGATTATTTTTGTAGTTATCATTATTATATTATTACTGTATGGTGACATTGATTATTATTTACTATTGTTGTTATTATTATTGTTGTTAAAGTAGTGGTGGTGGTAAAAAAAGGATGACATTGATAATGATAATGATGAAAATAATAATAGTAATAATAATGATGATAATGATGGTAATATTATAATAACAATGTTTATGAAAATGATAATATTGATCATGAATAATTATCATGATGACAATAACAGTATTAATGATAATGAGGATAATTCTAATTTTGTCAGTCTCATCAGTTTCTTCGCTTATGTGTTTGAAGTTTCTGTAGTTCACATTTTCTTCTTGAATTTCTTCCCTTTCCTCTTTCATTTTCCAATACGTTTCTCGCCATCCCTTATCTGCGCCGAGGCCTATAGACAGTTTCCATAGGCCGCGTCCTCCTTATCAAAATCTTTCCGTTGGGTTAAGATGTTACGGTATTTTCTCGGTGTCTGGTACAGGGAGGTGAGGGGGAGGTGAGGGAGGATGGTGTGAGGAAAAGGGAGATGAGGGGGGGTGAGGGAGGATGGTGTGAGAAAAAGGGAGATGAGGGGGTGAGGGAGGATGGTGAGATGGAGAGGGAGGATGGTGTGAGGAAAAGGGAGATGAGAGAGGGGGGGTGAGAGAGGATGGTGAGATGAAGAGGGAGGATGGTGTGAGGAAAAGGGAGATGAGGGTGAGGGAGGATGGTGAGATGAAGAGGAGGATGGTGTGAGGAAAAGGGAGATGAGGGGGGGGTGAGGAGGATGGTCTGGTACGGGGAGGGTGAGGGGGGAGGGGAGATGGTGAGGCGATGGTGCCACGTTAGGCTTCCCTATTGACTTCCTTTAAATAGTAACATAGGCGAGGTGGCAAGGAGACTTATATTTCTTGTTACTCCCGAGCCTATCCTTCTTTTTTCTCTTCCTCCTCTTTCTCCTTCTTCTCTATCTCCTTCCCCTCCCTCACTCCCCATACTCCTCCTCCTATTTCTACTTTCTCCTCCTTTCCTTCTTCTTCTTCTTCTTCTTCTTTTCTTCTTCTTCTTCTTCTTCTTCTTCTTCTTCTTCTTCTTCTTCTTTCTTCTTCTTCTTCTTCTTCTTCCTTCTTCTTCTTCTCCTCCTCCTCCTCCTCCTCCTCCTCTCTCCTCCTCCTCTTTCCACCTCTTCCCCTCTTCCACCTCTTCCCCTCTTCACCTCTCCCTCTCCTCCTCCTCCTCCTCCTCCTCCTCCTCCTCCTCCTCCTCCTCCCCCCTACCCCCTCTTCCTCTTTCTTTTCCTCCTCTTCCACCTCTTCCCCTCCTCCTCTTTCCTCCCCCTCCTCCTCCCCTCCTCCTCCCCTCTTCCTCTTTCTCTTCCCTCCTCTTCCACCTCTTCCCCTCCTCCTCCTCTCCTCCTCCTCCTCCTCCTCCCCTCTTCTCTCTCTCTTTCTCTTTCTCCTCTTCCCCTCCTCCTCCTCCTCCTCCTCCTCCTCCTCCTCCTCGTTATTTGACAGATAACGAATGCTTAAAAGTTGATCCTTGCAATAAGACGTGTGTATTCTGTTAATTACTGATCCACTTTATTGACTCCCTTAATCGGGGGTCAATTAATTAATCTTTTCCATACGACCTCTTGACATTTAAGATAACAGAGCGACGCACGACTCTGCCTGGTATTTGTTTGTTTGTTTTTAGAGTGGACAGGTCGTCTCTTATCTGTTAGTCCGATAGGAGACTTAATCCTGCATGGACTGTGTGTCATGAGTGAGCTCGAGAGAGAACATGGAGGTGGGATGATATGATATAACCCCCCCCCCCTCACCTCCTTGTTGATATGTATATGATATAACCTCCCCCCCACCCCCCACCCACCCTACCCACCTCCTCGCTGAGGGTATTTTCGTTTTTATTTCTGTCGTGGGTATGTGGTATATACCCCTCCCCCCCCATTCCCACCCACCTATCTCCTTGAGGGTATGTATGTTCTCTCTTATATTTCTGTCGTTTTTTATGTACTTGTTCTTACTTATTTTTTTCGCGAGTATTTCCGTAATGTATTTGGTTACTTTAGGGGGGGATGTTGGTGTTTGCAGGATTCGATGACGGCGTTGCAATTCATTTATAAATTATTCTTAGGGAAGTCGAGGTGGAAATGCGATTAAAATGACAAAAAAAAGGTACGCGGTTGTTCATGCAAGACTTTAAGGGGTACGTGATTGGTTAAAAGTTTGGGAAACACTTTTAGAGAAAGTTGGTCATAGAGATAGGGGAGGGGGGAGCGAGGGGACCGGGGAGGAAGGGGGGGATGGACTAGAACTCGGTTGCGGTCATGGAAATATGTTTATTCCCCCCCCTCCCTCCCTGGCCTCAACACCCCCTTCCAATACCCCCCTCACCCCTTGTCCAGCCTCTCCCCCCAGCCCCCTCCCCCTTCCCCTTCCCCTTTCCCCCATCCCACCTCACCCCTCTCCCCCAGCCCTCCTCACCCCATCTCCCCTCCCCCTCCCCCTCCCCCCTACCCCCTCCCCCAGCCCCTCTCTGCCCTCTCCAAACCGAACGAGTTAATGGCAGTTCGAGTCAGCTGTATCGGGGCCGAGAGGCAAAGAGGCAGATCGACTTGTTAAAGCACATTTGGCAACATATGTTCTGATTTCGATTTAGAATTTCGATGTATTGCGAAAAGGGGAAGATGATATATAGGGAATTGGAGGGGGGGGGGATTAATTAAGAAGGGGGAAGGAGGGTGGAGAAGGGGAAGGGGGGTGGTCAGGGGTGGAAGGGTTACGTGTGAGGGCCAGTGCCAGGTACCGAGCGTAATGCTGCGTAACACGTGCCTGGCGCTCGTGAGTTGAATGGGGCCTTCGTTAATTAAACGTTTCGTAGTCGCTTATTAGAGGTAAAAGGAAAAGAAAAGGATAATGGTGATAATAAACAATAACAGTGGATGGCATTAATAAAAGCAATGATAGTAAAAGGATAATGCTGAATAAACAATAACAGATGGCATTAATAAAAGCAATAATAGTAATAATGATAAGCTAGTGGAATAGGTAAGTTTTTTTTTATCATATGCATATACCGTTGTTTTCTTTTGTTTTTTTTTCGTTATTTTGTCATACCTTCTCTCGCTCGTTCGTTCCTTCCCTGCCCAAATTCTTCCTTCCTTCCTTTTAAAACCTCACCCCTTCATTCCCCAGTCCCTCCTCCTCCCCAGGCCTCTCCTCATCGTTCCTCCATCCTCTCCGCGAAATCCCACCAATCCTCCTCCCCTCCCTTCCTCTTCCTCCCTTTCCCTTCCTAATCCCTCCCCGCCTCTCTCCCTCCTCCCTTTCCCCCCCCTCTCCCCTTCCCTCTTCCCCTTCCCCTCCCCCCCAATCCCCTCTCCCTTCCTCCCCCAGATCCCCTCCCTCCCCCCCTTCTCCCCCCCCTCCCTCCCTCTGTGACACAAGGGGGACATTAATACGTGTCGACCTTGAGGAGAGGGGTGTAGAGGGAGGAGAGGAGGAGAGGAGGAGGGGGGGGGGGAATCGAGAGAGAGGAGGGGAGAAAGAGGGAAGGAGAAGAGGGGTATGGAGGGAGGAGGGGAAAAGAAGGGAGGAGGAGAGGGGTATAATGGGAGGAGGAGGGGAAGACGGAAGGGGCTAGGGGGAAGGGGGAAGTGAGAGGAAGGAAAAGGAAGGAAGAAGAGGCAAAGGTAATGGTAAAGTGGGGAAGAGGAGGATGGGAGGAGAAGAGGAGGGGGAGGAGGGAAGGAGAAGAGAGGGGAGAGAGGAGGAGGAGGAGGAGGAGGGGGAGAGAGGAGGAGGGAAGGAGAAGAGAGGGGGGAGGGGGAGAAGGAGGAGGGAAGGAGAAGAGAGGGGAGGGGGGAGGAGGAGGAGGGAAGGAGAGGAAGAGAGCCCGTAACAGACGACACGACCCGCCGGATGCAGCTGCCGCGAAGGGCGCCCCAGGTCGTTAAGGGTCGTCAGGCTGGTGAAGGTGGTTCGCGGGCGAACCACCTTCACCAGAAAGAGAGGAAGGGGGAAAGGGGAGGTAAGGGGAAGATGGAGAGGAAGGGGGGAAGAGGGGAGGTAAGGGGAAGATGGAGAGGAAGGGGAAGATGGAGAGAAGGGGGGGGAGGGGAGGGGGGAGTGAACAGCTGCCTCTCCGTGATTGGCTGGCCGGAAGACGCGATATATATGCCACCTGCGCTAATTGACGGTCACCTTGGCTCTCTGAAGGAGGGGGGGGGGGAGGAGGTGGGAAGAGAGAGGGGGTAAGGGAAAATGGGGAGGAGGGGAGGAGAGAGGGTTGGAGGGAGGGAGAGGGTAAGGGTAAAGGGTGGAGGGAGAGAGTGGATAGGGAAGGAAAGGAGAGAGGGATGGGGTGAAGAGAGATTAGAGAGGGAGGGGTGAGGAGTGGAAGCAGGGGCTGAGGGGAAAAGGGGGAAGGCAAAGAGACAAGAAAGAGAAAAAGGGAAAGGGGATAGAAGAGCAAAGAAGGTAGGAGGAAAGGGCCTGATAGCAGGGGCAAAGGGGGGGGGGGGCTTTAGAACACGCCTTCGACCTCGACTTCACGAAACGATTACGCTTATCTTATCGCCGCAACCAACACAGGGCCCTCGCCGGACACGAAGCACCACCTCGAGGCGCTGACTTTCTCATGGGGCTTCTTGGGGTCCCTCGTCTCCCTCTTCGGACCCTGGGAGCCTCTGGGAAAGGTCGGTGGGTCCGGTGTGCGGAGATGAGGATCATGGGGCTCGTTTTCCCTTTCGTAGGGAAGCGAGACGTCGGGATGTGTTGGATGGGGAATAGGTTGTCGCTCCGGAACGTTTGGGGCGAGTGACGTAGCCTGTTGACGTGGAAATGTTTTCCTTCATTCTTGTATTTGTTTATCTTATTGTTTACGGGTGTGTTTACAGCTGGTGTATGTCCATTTAAAAAGTGACGATTTGTTATCTCTCTCTCCTGGACCGAGATTATAGCGAGGATCTCCCCTTTATAAAGACACGCTTACTCACACCCTTAGAAGTAGTGCAAGATTTCCTGTAAATTACCATTTGTGCCTCTCAATGACCTTGTTTAAGAGCGTATGAAGAGTTGAAGTCGTTAGCCTGTTTTTTTTCTTCTGTTTTTGTTTCATGATGCAATATGTGTTGTGTATCATTTTCTCAGTTATGTCTTTTGTTACGTGCATGTGATACGACAGCATTAAACTATTTGTACTTGGGTTTCATGTTCTATATTTGAGGTTGTTAAAGGATGACTTAGGCCTATATTAGATTTCTTTCGAGATGACAAGAGGCTGCGTCAGGCGTGTCACGAATGCCTCGCTGACAGGTTCACTAACGATCGCCTTTCCCCTGACAGTCGACGGGTGACAGCAGCTTGTCGTCAGGCAGCGCGGGCGAACGAAGCGTCAGCCCCGCCCGCTCTGACGAATCGGCTGACGGGCGGCCGACCCCCCGCCCACTCTCCCCGGCCTCGTCCTCCGCCACCCTCACCTCCAGCCACCCGCCGCCGCCCCTCTCCCGGCCCGCCTCCTCGCTCAACCTCGCCCGGGCCAGGAAGAGGCAGGCCCCCGCGCCCCCGCCCGCAGCCCCTCCGCCCGCAGCCGCGCCGCCCGCGCACCACACCAATGGCAAGGTGGGTTCGTTCGCCCTCGGGGAGGTCGCCTTCGGGTAAATTGCTCCGGTTGATTTGACCAATTTTTCATTGCCTTGGCAGCTTGTCTTTCTTTCTCTCCTTCCTTCTTTTGCCTTTTTTTTTTTTTTTCTCTCCTTCCTTCTTTTGCCTTTTTTTTTTCTTTTTTCTTTTCTTATGGCAACTTCTTCGGGTAAATTTGACGACTGTTGTCAATACAGAAATAATGTGACGGTCACTTGCCTGGTCTTGGACGGCGATAAGGGCGATTCCATGCAAAGATAATTTCATTATCAAAATTACGTTCTGTGATATGACTCCTCAGTGCGTGTCTCGTTATCTTAAAAGATAATGATGATATGATGATATGATGATCAGTGAGAGGTGAGTCACTTGGTGTCGGTTTGTTTGTTTGTTTATCTGTAGTTAAGGGATTCTATAATCAGTCGAGATATTTTTTAATCACTGATTTAAAGAAAATTAATATCTAATTTCATGCACATATTTTTTTTCATTATAGAAATATTTTCACAATTTTGTTTCCTCAATTTAGGTGTATTTTATAATTTTGATTTTTAGGTATCTTGGCTTGCTTTTTTACTTTTTTTTTTGTTCTTTTAGTGTCTCTTTGCTTATTCGTTGTATTATATTCATTTGATTATTTACGATGTGTCACGTTAACATATATTCCGTTTGTGCCATTTGATTTATAAGAGTTATCCCGTTTTTCATTCTGCCTGTATATCCATCTATTTAAAAATGCCAGTCCACTAATTCACATTTTCCTTTCAATCATGGATTTGTCACATTTTAAGAATATCGTCCCATTTTGTCTCATTTATTCATCTTGTTTTTTTATTCACAAAATCAGTTTCATTCATAGTTTCCTTAACTAGACTTTGGTCGCTTGACTTACAACTTGGCGATTTCCAGCTAGCGGTACTTAGCGATTTCGATTTACCGATTTCCAGCTCACTTTACTTAGCGATTTCCTGTACTTTATATAACATTTCCACACTTCCTTCCGCAAGCTCACTCTTACTTAGCGATTCATATTCCTGCTCACCTAACTACTTACTTAGCGATTTCCTGCTCACTTTACTTTGTTTTCTTTACTTAGCGATACTTTACTTAGCTCACTTTACTTAGCGCGACTTTTGTAGCGATTTCCCGCCGATTTCGCTTTAGCGATTTCCCGCTCACTTTACTTAGCGATTTCCTGCTCACCTTAGCGATTTCCGCTCACTTTACTTAGCTCCGCTCACTTTACTTAGCGATTTCCCGCTCACTTTACTTAGCGATTTCCGCTCACTTTTACGATAGCGATTTCCGCTCACTTTACGTAGCGATTTCCCGCTCACTTTACTTAGCGATTTCCTGCTCACAGGCGGAGAGCGAGCGGCGAGAGGGCGTGGGAAGCAGCCTATCGCGGCGCAGTTCGGACTCGTCAGGGTACCACGAGTCGGAGCACAGGTCGCCTCACACCAGGTATGGGAGCCGGGGCCTTCTGCGGGAGGGAGGGAGGGGGAAGGAGGGGAGAGGTGAGGGAGGGAGGGAGGGAGAGGGAGGAGGGAGGGAGGGAGAGAGGGGGAGGGAGGGAGGGAGAGGAGGGAGGGAGAGAGGGAGGAGGGGAGGGGGGGAAGAAGGGAAGGAGGGGAGGGGGGAAGAGGGAAGGAGGGGAGGGGTGAGGGAAGGGTGAGGGAGGGAGGGAGAGGGAGAGGAGGGAAGGAGGGAGGGGTGAGGGAAGGAGGAGGGAGGGGTGAGGGAGGGAGGGAGGGAGGGGTGGATGAGTACGGAGGGATGGATAGGTAGGGGATGGGAAGGGAAGATGTGAGGAAATGGTATGAGGGATGGGGGTGTGATATGAGGTATGAGGGGAAAGTTTGGGGGTCGAGGGGAAGATGTGAGGTAAGTGTAAGAGATATGAGGATGATATGAGGGGAAGGTATGAGGCATGAGGGGAAGATGTAGGATATGAGAGAATAATGTGATCAGTAAAGTATGTTTTGAAATATGAGAGTTGGATGGATGGCATGAGGGGAAGATGTGAGATGTAAAGGGAAAGATATGAGGGAAGATGTGAGGATGAGGTTGTAAGGAGGATAGAATGATTGGTTGCGTTGGGCGGGTCGAGTGGTTCGGATGGTGTATTTTTTAATTCATGAGAGATGTAGTGTAGTTGTGAATATGAATATATGTAACTGATGTATCTATTAGATTAATGGTGATTGAATATTGAATTTGTGGAAGCGGCTCTGCTCGGCTCGCAGTTCACGACGCGTCCTTCACCCGACCCCTCCCTTGCAGCCCCGCCGGCTCCGAGATCAGCAGTCTGGAAACGAGCCGCGGGCCGGGCGCCGCCGCGACCAACCTCACGTCGGTGGTGTCGACGTCCAGCCTGTCCCTGGCCTCCTCCCGGGGCAAGAGGCGCGCCCCGCCGCCCCCGAAGCCCGCCCCCGCCAAGCACGACGAGGCGCGCCCCTCGGCCATCCCCGAGGAGGCGGAAACCCCCGTGCCGGCCAAGGCCTCCGAGGAAGCCGCGAAACCTCGAGTGAACGGAGAAGCCGAGCCCGCCTCTCCCCCTCCTCCTCCACCCCAGCCCGGAGGCCCCCCCTCCTCCCCCACCTCGTCCCACGTGAGCTCCGTCTCGTCCCTGAGTAGCGTAGAGCACCAGCAGGCGTCCAGCCCCCTCCTGCCTCCTCCGCCAGACGTAGAGTGCCCTCCTCCTCCTCCCCCTCCAGCCTCCGCCTCAGGTAAGTCCATCTCCGCGCCGCAGGACTTCCTCGACGAAGGGAATATTGAGGACGACTGGAACGACTTCCTGAGTGACCTGGGGGAGATCCTCCAGACTCAGCAGAAGCTCGTCTTTTAACTCGCGATTCATGACAGTATATATTTCTGCTCTGATAAATCGAGGAAGATTTTCCTGCACGGTTTCCCTCTAGTTAGCTCTTTGTGATTATATTTGCAATGAAGTGTATTTTTTGTTATTTTTTTAAAGACACCAGATACAATGTCCATATTTTGAAACCTCTACCATTACTTATTGCAGAATCAGTTTATTATTATTTTGCTAGAATTAGTCAGCACTGCAATCACTATAGTCGATTTTTTAAAGTATTGCGATGTTCCTAGTTCTAGAATTTGCATGGTAATGATATATCTGTAAAGCAAGTCGAGATATGTTATTAAATAGTGATAGACTTTTGTTTTGATGATACTACATGTAGGCATGGGCGTACAGTAATTTGCCATATCACTTTAACTTTCGAAAATTTTAGAACTACCAACCAAATCACACCAGGAATGACAATTTTTTTCATACTAACATAATTTTAATTGTTAGGGCATTTTCTAAATTCCAAAGACTCTACATCTCCCATGGTTAAATTGTAATTGCATGGCATACAACTGTCATGGCTCATGCGCGGTTTGCATGTAGTTATTCTTAGTTTCCTTTGCATGCTTGGTAATGGCTGTACTAACCCTCCACAGACTGCACTAACTCTGGCGCCTCCTTCAACGCCTCCCGTCCTCCTTCCTCCAAAGCCTCCGATCTCGGAATGACACCTTCCCGTAGCCACTCCGCTTCCACCTCCTCTTCCTCCTCCTCCTCCTCCTCTTCGTCCTCCTTTTCCAACACTCCTTCCCCCACCACCGCACGTGCTACTGTTGCTGCCAGAGTCAGCCCGGGAATGCAGCACGAGGCAGCATCAGCAGCAGCCGCATCACCAGCAAGCCTGAGCAACGGCAGTGGAGCAAGTGGAGTCATCTCTCCTGACAGGTTAGCGGCGCCCGAGGGCCGTCTTCAGCCCCGCCCGCAGGAACCGCAGCGCCGCCTGTTCTCCTCCTCGCCGGCGCATCCGGAAGACAATCGCAAAAGGCACGCCCCTGAGGACGCGGCCAGGACTGAAGACAGCCACCCTAGCAAGAGCGCCAAGCAGCAAGGCAGCAGCCGAGACAGCTCTGGCGCCAGTGCGAAAAGTGCCAAACAGTACCCTGAGGATGCTATAGTGCCACTGAGTGCCAATGTGGAGAATGCATCAAATATTCCTATGTTTAGGATCGTCACCAAGTCACAAACAATAGTACAACAAGATGATGATATAAATAAGAAGTTCATAGCCGATGGAAAGACGCAGAAAATTAAAGAAGAAGACTGGCTTGGCTCGAAAGGAAAAGCCTCATTGGCCGGGAGAGGCAACCCGCTAGCCCGAGGACAGCTCCTGAAACAAGAGAATGTGTCTTTCGATGAAGATGACGATGATATGGATTTCAACGAAGACATGTTTGCGCCAAAACATGCATTAGGAAACTCCACCAACCAAAGTATGGAGTGGAGAGATTTTAGCGACCAGTCTTTTGGAGGTGGACCCCCGCCAGCTTCCTCGACCCCAGTGGATAAGTCGACTCCGGAGCCAGTCCCCAGAAAGACGACCCCGGCCATGCTACAGAAGCCCGCCACGCCCAGCAAGCCAGAGCGGTTTGACACACTCGCTTCCACAGCAAACCGGACGATCGGTAGTGGTATGAATTCATCCTTTGAAGGTGGCATTACTGTGGAGAATGTCGAAACGCCACCCATGCCTGCACCCAGAAATACGGTCTCTCGGAAAAAGAGAGCGCCGCCGCCGCCTCCTGTGTCCAAAGTGAAAGTGCCTGATACTGTACAACAAGATCAGGTGGTTCCTAGCGTGCCGAAACAGCAGGTGCTTAACCCCTCTTTGGAACTTTCTGTGAGACCAAAGTACAGTGAACTCCCAACCAGTTCTCGGCCACAGCATGCAGAAGCCGAAGACTTCGACAGAATCATGAACGAACCACAAGACGAAGAATTCAAGATCCATGTATCGAGCCTAGTAGATATCCAACCAGACCAGCTCTCGCTGCTGACAGAAGTAGATGTTGATTCCCCGTCCTGCTGTCGATCCCCAGCATCTAGTGTCTCCTCAAGAGAGTCTGGAGTCCCAAAGAGAAGTATTGAGATGGACATACTTTATCCTGATAATGATGTAGACGTGAAGTCCATAAGTAGTGCATCAAGCGCGTCGTTCCACAGCTCCTCCCCAACGCCCCCACCTGCCGCCCCCGCCGCCGCAATTCCCTCCCAGACAACGGCTAGTAGTTACCGTGCCGGATACCTCGCTCTGATCTCGCAGCTCAGAAGCTGGGACAACACAGAGTCTCTTCAGACTGCTGGCTTAGACTCCTCTGACTCTCATAGCAGCACCCCTCGAGGGTCCCTCCAAGACACCCCCGCACGAGAGGGCTCGCCTCAGAGGCCCTCCGAGGACGCCTCTCAAGGGTCACCCTCCTCCCGTGGAGGGGCGCATCGTGGGCCTTCTACACGACCTCGACTTGTCTCCAGCTCTTCTCTGTGCTCAGATACAGGTTTGCATGAAGAAGGTTTCCACGGGGTTCTATCAAGGATGCTTCTTGGGGTGCTTAACCATTGCGGTTTGGGCTCATACAGGTCTCCTCGTGTCAGTAAACAAGAGTTGATGTAAGATTCACACTTATGTGAACTAACATACATATTACATATGGTTAGCTGTATTTTGTTTATCTGTAATGTAAAGTATTAACGTTTGTCTAACATTAACAGTAGAAGTAATATAGAGGTATTATAGTAGCGGTATTTTGCATGACAACAGGGTTATACAGCATACATTAAATTAAACAGGTGTTATAAAATACTTCTAAATAATCTGAAGATAAAATGGTATTCATTAACTTCAAAGTTACATTCTCTTCCTTCAGTAATATATTCATTTGTCTTCTATTGCGCAACAGATCATGAGGTACAGACTCGCACTGCCAGCTTCTCCTCAGAGACGAGTGAGGATAATGTTGTCAGCAGTAGAGTGGAGTCGACCTGCACCCCGAGCGAAGAGTCTCTCGAGCCGAAAACAGACGAAAAGAACCTCCAAGATGTCGCCAAGAACCTCGTGAATGAAGCAGCCCCGCCCGACAAGGGAGAGACGGGTTCGCCCACAGAAAGGCTAAGTCGCAGAAGTAGTATTAGCAGCGCGGGCGAGGATGGCCGGGCGCACGTCGGCGAGAAAATCCTTGCTTCAGAATCCGCGACTTTGGAAGCCACCCAGCCCGAGGCGAACGATGTTACCAAACCCCAAGACTTCACGACGAGAGACTCTGGCTCCTCACAGTCCGAACGGGACTCTGATGGAGACAGTCGGGGAGATCGCATGCAAGAGCTCATCGGAGAAACGCCGCAAGATGGCATTAGAGAAGAAAAAACAAGAGAGGAAGTGGAAACGGAGGTGCTGGAGATGCCCAAGCTGACCGCGAATATCCCGAAGGAAACCAAGGATATTCCTAATGGATCGGTGGATAGCTCCTCGGACATCAGTAGTGACAAAGTGAGTTGCGAAAGGCGCGGTGTGTGTGCGTGTGTGTGCGGGTGTTTGTGTGTGTGACTGCCTGTCTGTCTGTCTTCTGTTTCTTGTGTTTTTGTGTATGTCTTTCTGTTTTTATGTTTGTGTATGTATGTGTCTGTTGTCTGTTGTCTGTTTTACGTGTTTCCATCCTTTTGTGTGTCTGGACATAACTGAATATGGAGGGATCATAGTTCTGTTGAAACAAACTTGCATTAATTTTGTATATAATTCCCTTTTCATTTATATATAAATGTCAATACATAAAAATACCATTAATTTAGTCAGTAAAAAGCGGTGATAGCTGAATATACAACAGACGTTCCAGCAATATGTAATTTTGTTGTGTCGCTACACCTCACCTCATTTCCACTGACATGAAGTGCGACTTGAAGTTCACAAAGCCCGACTTACAAAGGACGCACATATTTCAGCACGTCATCGCCGCCACGGGGAGCAGAAAGACCTCCGTGTCGTCGATGTCATCCGCTTCGTCAGGAGATTCGAGCGGACAGACGGAACGCGAGAGGCTGAGCGCGCGGGAGGCACAGGAGGTGCGTTGGGGGAGGGTCTGTAGGGCGGGGAGGTCGGTGGGAGGATCTAGGTGGGAAATAATGACTATCAAACACTGTATATGATTGTTTTAGATGGGAATAA